CCCGCTGACTCCAAAGCCAGTCTTCCCTCCTGCAACTGTCTAATAGGAGATGAGAACAGGTCTCCATTTGGAGCCTGTCAGTGGGTCAGAGACTAAGATCCAAGCTCAGGTTCTAAATTCCATGTCCTTTCCTCCATACCCTGGTGTTTCCTATGAACAGAACCCTAGAGCTGCAAGGCTTGGATTGCATGGCACTGCTCAGAAGAGTTACAGGTCTGGGCCAGGCTGTAGCTGCCCCTCCAGGTGGCTAGACCTCTCCTTTCTGTGTCACCAGTTAACACTGGCCAACAGTTCCTCCCCTTAACTGTTCACTGCTTTCTTCCGTGTCTAACTGATGCAGTTAATGACCCATAACTAAGCAGTACCAGGTATGGCTCTGTTTCCTGTTCATGTCCCGTGTCCTCTGGGCTGCATGCATTCCATTCTTAGAGAATGAATGCCTTTAACCTGGTAAATCCTGCCGCACATCTGCTTCCACTATGAAATTCATGAGGGGCTGTTATCGATTCCTCCCTCACCCATCATTTACTAAGAGGCTGGTGATTGCATTGTAATCCTCTAAAGCTTACATTGTCTTTCTGATTTTTGGTCTTATCTGAGCAAGTGGTCTATAAATAACTCAGTGGCTTTCTCATGACTATTTCAATCATTAGATTTTAATCAAGTGTCTTATTAAACATATCTGCATGCTTCTACAGGCATCTGTCTCTTCACATGGCTGTTCAGTGTGCCTCTCACAAGTTAGCCCAAGTTTTCCATTCTCCTGCTTAGAACTCAGTTGAGCTCCCTAGCTTTGGCTTTGATCCCAGCTTTCCAGCGCTGCTCAATCCGTTTCCATGGCAGGCCATTGGAAACGCTCAGTGCATCCCTGTGCCTGAAGCCAAGTGAGTGCTCACTCCATGCATGCATGAAGGCTGGGCAGGAGTCTTTGCCTAACCAGACAGCCATGTGAGGAGGGAGGGCCTGTTCCTTCCTGTAAGCTGTATCATGAGGCAGCGTGGTCAAGTCCTCTGCCAGGGAGTGGTGTGGGCCCAGCCTGGGCATGTTTCTGTGCCAGGGTGCTAGAGCCTACTGCCAGATTGTCTCCCTCCACCCCAATCAAAAAATCCTTCCAGAATGGAAGAGCTAGTTTCCCTGTATTGGAAGGGAAGTGGCAGCACCCCCCTGAAGCAGTTGGACTTTAATCACGCTACCTCTGCATCTGCCCGAAGGACAGATTTAGCCAATTAACCTAAGGTTACCTTCCTCTCTGATTAATTCCCCATTCTGTCTTCCCATGTGTTGTGTCTCGTTTTTTTTCCTCCTCCTTCCCTCTTCCTTGCCCCCTCTTCCCCTAAACCTTACAGATAGCTCGTGAGGCTGAGGCAGCCATGTTCCACCGCAAGCTGTTTGAAGAACTTGTGCGAGCCTCAAGTCACTCCACAGACCTCATGGAAGCCATGGGCATGGGCAGCGTGGAGGCTTCTTATAAGTGTTTAGCGGCAGCTTTGATAGTTCTGACGGAGTCTGGCAGGTAGGGCCCTAAGGGCAGGTAATACTGTTAGGATAACCAGCCTCTTGCTCCAGCTGCTCTAGGAGAAGACAGCCAGGCCCAACCTGGCATCTGGGCACAGAGCCTCTTCTCGTCTGCAGGAACACAGCTAGGGAGGTCATGGCAGGGCAGGACCAAAGGGTCCTGTGGCTCAGTAGGCACAGCAGATGTCACAGGCACCTGGTGAAGGACTGGTTCCTGTAGAGTCTTGATCTTGGCTCAGCTCAGAATCTCAGTGATTGGGCTCCTCTTGTCCCAAGGAGCATGTTCCTCACCAGCTGTCCGGGTGACTCTTCCCTTCCCTCTCCTTTTGTGACAAAGCTCTGACAAAGCTCTGTCCCCCTCTCGTCCCTCTGGACGAATGTTGCTCCCCTAGATTGCCCGTGAGGCAGAGGCCGCCATCTACCACTTGCAATTATTTGAGGAACTCCGCCGCCTGGCGCCCATTACCAGCGACCCCACAGAAGCCACCGCCGTGGGCGCCGTGGAGGCCTCCTTCAAGTGCTGCAGTGGGGCCATAATCGTCCTCACCAAGTCTGGCAGGTAGGAGGCGGCAGCAGCTCCCTGGGATGCCCTGCTCAGTGGCACCTCTCCTCGGGGGCCCTGGGAGCAGTGCATTGAGCAGTGCTCGGGTGGCGCTGAGCCACGGTAAGACCCCTCTGCCTGCCACCTGGACCTGCAGGGAAGAAGTGAGCAGAGCCCCTCCCCTGGGCCCAACGGACTCCAGGCGGCACTCTAAGGAGTGTCAGAACATGTGGATCAAAAGCAAGTTTACACTGGAGATTTATTACGTAATAGTGCACAGGCTGACTACACATGGTTATTTGATATTGAAAATCTAGTCCTCTAAAACAGTAAAAGATAACCACTTTTGCTTGTTCCAGTTACTCCGTTCTCTTTAACAATTCAGTCGGGAAGATGAATTTAAATGCCGCTTACTGCGTGCCCATTTGGCACTCTAGTCCCTCCTGTTTTTGAGCTCTCAAGACAGTTGGGTTCCAGCTCGGGAGAGGTTGCTGTGCTATCTTGACTGACATTCTGTAGGGTCAGGCAGCCAGGCTGAAGATTGTGTGGCCTGTGCTGGGCCTCCAGCTTTAGATCCCTTCCTTGCCCAGGACATTGAGTTAATGTCCTTCACCCGCCTGGTCAGGGAGTATGCTCCTCGTCACTGCCCACAGGGCAGCAAGGGTTTCCTGGAAGAGAGAGGAGCAAACAGGCAGTGCCCACGCACTGAGTAGCAGCAGACGGGTGTGGGCAGCCCAGAGAACCGGGACACAAGTGCTGTGCAGATGATCTCAGCAGAGGGCTCCAGCCTCTCAGTCTTGGCTGAACAGCTCCAACCAGTAGGGCTGACCTTTCTTAAAAGGTCTAGTTCTGGCTGTTTGGCTATTTTAAGCTCTCATCTTCTGGGGTTTCACTTAGCTGGTCCTGGCCTCAGCAGTTGCTTCCCTGTGAAGGCCTTGCACAGAGGCCAAGCGTGATGTGCAGGGACTTCTCCGCTGCGATGTGGCTTGTTTCCCTGACCTCTTGAGTGTCCTCATAACTTCCCTTCAGGTGTCCCCCCCCCCAGCTCCTGAGACACATCTGCAGCTACAAGTGTGCAGTGTCAGCATTCAGTCCCTGGCAGAGGGTCTTCAGAAGGGCCCCTGCCTTCCAGAGGAGGTTTGGCAGGCAGAGCTGCTCCTGCACCAACATTCCCATTTCCTGTTCTTGCCTGCTGAGTAGCACCTAGATTTCTAAGCCTCAATTACTCAGATTTGACTCTAGGTCCTTACAGCCTAGTAGCTAGGGCTGTTTCAGGAGCCAAGGGCCATGTGGGGCAGGGAGAAGGCATATAAGTAGAGAATCCTGATACTGATTCCTTAGGGGGCTGGGTCAGCTCTGCTCCTGCTCTTTGCAGATATCAGGAGTCAGGTGCTACGCACGTGCTCCTTGGCTTGTAGTTGTCACTGGCAGTGAGAAGAATGAGCGCCCTGACATTGGGCCAGTGCTGCCTCTTTGTGTCAGAGTTCAGGGTGTATGAGGGGTTCTGCCAATCCTGGGCTGTGGGGTAAGTGGGTGAGGCTGACTTTGCCCAGGTCAAGATGATCCTGGGCCCCTGGTCTGTAGAATAGGGGTAGAGGCCAAATGGTAGCTTAGCATGCTGTAGAGGATATAGGATGAGGGGCTGCCCACGCCTCGGGAGAGGTCCTAGGGAGCAGATATTGAACTGGCCAGAGCCCTCAGGCTGGCATGGTGAGCTGGATGAGAGGGTGAGCTGTTTGAACATCCTGAGGTGCTTCCTGGGGCCCGTGTAATGGTCATTTGTGTCTTGTCTCCCCCTTTCCATCTCAGATCTGCTCACCAGGTGGCCAGATACCGCCCACGTGCCCCCATCATTGCTGTGACACGGAATGCCCAGACAGCTCGTCAGGCTCACCTGTACCGTGGTATCTTCCCTGTGCTGTGTAAGGACCCCATCCAGGAGGCCTGGGCTGAGGATGTGGACCTCCGGGTGAACTTGGCCATGAATGTTGGTATGTGGTTGGAGCAGGGGCTAGAGGTTGGTGGGGTTTGGGGCTGCTTGAGCATTGGCTTTTCTGGGACCCTGAAATTTGGGGAATAGAAAGAGGAATGTGCAGATCTTGGAGGGGCAGGAGGCCCATCTGACTGCTCCTCTCCCTCACTGGGAATGTTTTCTGAATCTCTCATTCCCTGAAGTCCTAGGCTGAGCCCAGGAAGGAAAAGGGTCCTTTGAGTTGTAGGGATGAGCAGTTCAGACCCTCTTCTTTTCTAGTCTAGGGCCCAAAGCAAAATTGTCCATTCTTTGGCATTTGCTCATTACTGAGAATTTTTGTTTTTAAATAAAATTGGCTAGAGCTCCTGCACTGTGGGTGGCATACAGATTATGTACTGATGTGGCCATTGTCCCCGAGTAAGGTAGGGTATCATCGGATGACAGGAAACAGCTAGCTCTGACCTTGGGCTAGGCTTTGCACCCTCTCGAGGATAAAGTGAATGATGTCCAAAGGTCCTTGCCAACCCTACCATCTGAGTGATAAGGAAATTTCAGGGCCTCCCTCCTGTTTGCCTGGGCTGTGGGTTTGGCGCCACCTCGTGGTTTGAGGAAGTAGTGGTCAGCCAGCCTAGTTCAGTGCTCAGGTTTGGGGCAGCTGCCCAGGTGCAGACCCTTCATGGCTCGGCTTTTACTCACCAACCTCCCTTATCTTCCTCCAGGCAAGGCCCGAGGCTTCTTCAAGAAGGGAGATGTGGTCATTGTGCTGACTGGGTGGCGCCCTGGCTCCGGCTTCACCAACACCATGCGTGTTGTTCCTGTGCCGTGATAGACCCCAGAGCCCCTCTTCCAGCCCCTGTCCCACCCCCTTCCCCCAACCCATCCATTAGGCCAGCAACGCTTTTAGAGCTCACTCTGGGCTGTAATGTGGCACTGGTGGGCTGGGACACCAGAGAAGAAGATAAAACGCCTCGATGAAACATGGCTGTGTTTACTCCCTGCTCTGGTGGGACAGCCCAGAGCCTGGCTGCCCATCATGTGGCCCCACCCAGTCAAGGGAAGAAGGAGGAATGCCGGACTGGAGGCCCTAGGAGCCAGATGGCAAGAGGGTGCCAGCTTCCTTTCCTGTGTGTACTCCGTTCAGTTCCTTTAGAAAATGGATGCTCAGAGGACTCCCAACCCTGGTCTGGGGGCAGGAAACAGCCAGCGAGAGTTAGGGGCCTTAGCGCACAGAGCAGTTGTTCCATTTAAGCCAACTCTGGCCCTGACCCTTGCTTCCCCAACCCCCTGGGCCTCCCCAGTTCACACCTGTCCCCACCCTCCACTCAGCTGTCCTGTGACAAACACTCCACCTTCCATTTTCCCCCACTACTGCAGCGCCTCCAGGCCTGTTGCTATAGAGCCTACCTGTATGTCAATAAACAACAGCTGAAGCACCTGTTTCCTCTCTCTTCTGCTGGGGAGGGGGAGATGGTTGAACTTTGCCCTCTGAGCAGGCTGGAAATGGCTGCAGCCCCATGCCCGACGGTGGGAGCTAGGTGGTGTCGCCTGCCATCCTGCCTGCCTTCAGGTACAGATGCGCTGGGAAAGCAGTAGCTGACTCTTAGGGTTCTAGGTTGCCCCGCCTCAGTGCTGTTAGGAGACCTTAATGGCTTATGTGAACCAGAGATGGGAAAGAACAGGGACAAGGGCTCCTCCCTCCCACTCTGGTAGATAAACCCAAATCATGAATCCCTGGTGGTGGTTCTCCCTCCACTTTGGTCTCCCTGCAATAGCGATCCCTTACCTGGATGAGTCTACCCTAGCTAGATGCCCGAGACTGGGTTCTGCTCCCTGGTCCTCAGTTGTGGACTTAGGCTCACCTTGGGACCACACCCGTTTGCTGGTGCCCTCCCATTGTGATACTGCAGTGCCAAGGGGTTAGGGGAGGAGTTGGAAATGGGACCAAATCTGGCCTGCGGCTTTCCCCTCTCCTAACCACACTCCCAAGGACCAGGTGACCTGGTGGGGGTGGAAGAGGAAAGGGCCTGCAGGCCAGGCAAGTTGGGGAATAGGACCTTTGGGCCCATTCCACTGCTCAGTTCAGCCCAGCTCATTGTGACACACTGAGCTGTGCCTCTGCTTCCCTGTCTTTGATTTGTGTCCACCTTAAGTCCCTCCGCAGACTCCTCCGAAAGTGTATTTCCTTGGAGAAACTACAATGTTAAAAACTCTGGCAAAGGTGCATGGAAGCATCCTGGCTCCAGGGCTCCCGGTGGTGACTTGCCTGTCAGACCATGGTGTTCAATATCCCCTTTGCTATTCCCCACTAACGGTGAAATTGAAACGTACCCTGGAGTTCGGTGTTGGGAAGGACTGGGTTGGAAAGGGCCCGGAATCGTTTCCTGCAGAGGGACCCAATTTCCAAGACTAGGAGGACAGAAGCGTCTAGCAGGACACAATACCCTCGACGTGAGGAACAGGAGGTGCTGCGCCAGGCCCTGGCCTCCGGGACCTTCCAGTTTGGGGGACCGAGCACTATAATCTGCGTAGAGCTGGGTGCCCCACCTGGGGAAGGTGGGGAAAGAGGGAAGCTCGGGAAGAAGGGGGAGGAACGGCCAATGGGCTGGGCCCGGCCCGCGCGAGCCGCCAATGGGCGAGCGGGGCGGGCTCTCGACGGGGCGGGCGGGGTCCGGCGGGCGCTGGGTCCCGGCGCGCGGTCGGGGGCGCGGGGCGCTGGCGCCGCGATGACCGCTCTAAGCCGAAGCGAGGCCGCCGAGGCGGGCAGGTAAGGGATGGCAGCCCCGGGGCCGGGTTCGGGACCCCGGAGGCAGCCGCGAGGGGCAGGGCGGCTCCTGGGGCCACGGCAACTCGGAGCGTTCTGCCCACGGGGCAGGCACTTCCCGGCCGCCGGATTGCGGGCTTCGGGCCAGAGCTGCGCCGCGCGCGCCCAGGCGCCTCCGGGAGCCTGTGAGGTGTTCGCTCCCGGATCTGGTGTCCGGGCTGAGTCTGCTGCGACCTGGCGGATGAGGGACGGTCCCGGCGGCGTCGGGGCAGGGGAGGGCACCCTCCTCGGGACGCCTCGCGCGGCCCATCTCCGCCCGCCACTCTGTTCATCCTTTCATTTATTCATTCATCATTCGTTCCCCGCGATATCGACTCCCAGTCCTGATTGCCGCCGAACCAAAGGTTGGCCCTCCCTGCAGCCCCTGGAGGGTCGGACTCTTTCCTCTTGCCGCCGAATCCGCACTTGTAGCGGCCCGCGACTGTGGGGAGGCAGCTCGGAGCTGTCCCAGCACGACGCAGCCTCACCCGGGCGCTAGGCCCATCCCGGCCGGGCGGGCTGGGCGGGTCTCCCGGCCCCGAGATCTGGTCCAAAGTCGCCCAGGGAGGAAGGGATAAGGAGGCAGGGCAGACAGGAGATGGCGCTGCACGTGACATCCAGAATTGTGGCTTCTTGCTCCTTGAGGTCTTGGGGTCCTGGGGATGACACTGTTTTGGGGAACCTGTCAATTTCTGCCGGGGTCCAGGTTCTAAGCTGCACAACCGAAGGTCGGGTACAGCCTGGCATCCCTGGCCAGCTAGCACTGGGATAGGTAGGTTGACTGTGGGAGCCTTGTCCCCAAATCAGCCCGGGACACACAGGGGTGTGGACCCCAGTGGGACTCGCTCTGCCTTGTCCTCAGAGGGACTGGTGGGGCTCCACCCCTCTGTCATTTGTGCCTCTTTGCTCTGCTTGCCGCCCCCCTCCACTCACTATGCTTGATTGTTTAAAGGTGCCTCTCCTTGCAGTGGCCAGGCTCCTAGGGAACACGAGACGGTGCCCAGGCAACCTGTGCTGTCTTCGCCCCATGTCCACCTGTAGACGGCTCTAATGGCTTTGCTGGGAGAGGTGGAATAGAGTGAGGGTGTCCATCCCATTCTTCAGTGAGGAGTCAGTATGCCCCGCCTTTTCTTTCTTTTCTTTTCCTTTCCTTTCCTTTCCTTTCCTTTCCTTTCCTTTCCTTTGTTTCCTTTCCTTTCCTTTTCTTTCTTTCTTTCTTTCTCTTTCTTTCTTTCTTTCTTTTTCTTTCTCTCTCTCTCTTTCCTTCCTTCCTTTCCTTTCTCTTTCTTTCTTTTCTTTTCTTTCTTTCTTTCTTCTTTCTTTCTTTCTTTCTCTCTCTTTCTTTCTCTTTCTTTCTTTCTTTTTCTTTCTCTCTCTCTCTCTTTCCTTCCTTCCTTTCCTTTCTCTTTCTTTCTTCTTTCTTTTTCTTTTTCTGAGACAGAGTTTCACTGTCACCCCAGCTGGAGTGCAATTGTGCGATCTTGGCTCACTACAACATCTGCCTCCCGGGTTCAAGCAATCCTGCTGTCTCAGCCTCCAGAGTAGCTGGGATTATAGGCGCCCACCACCACACCCGGCTAATTTTTGTATTTTTAGTAGAGATGTGGTTTCACCATGATGACCAGGCTGGCCTTGAACTCCTGATTTCAGGTGATCCACCCACCTCAGCCTCCCCAAGTGCTGGGATTATAGGGAATACAGGCGTGAGCCACCGTGCCTGGCCCCCTCCGTAGACTTCTGATCAGGCTGGCGGGAGTCCATGTTGCAGACACTCTTAGGTTTAAGTTTTAGTTTGACAGGCATGGAGGTAGTCTCAGTGGGCACCTCTGGGGCTAATGGGCAGGTCCAGAGGGCAAAGCTGACAGAGGCCCCATTGAGCTTCCAGAAGAGTTTCAGTTGAGGCCAAATAGAAGTTCTCCTTCCCAATTTCCCCTGGGTGGGAGTTTCTGAATAGCCCAGGTAGGGCAGCTCAGATTCTGTCTGTGCTTTGATGTTGGTGGCTGCTTTCAAATTTGTAAACTTAGGCAAGTCCCCAAAGCTTTGACACAGACCAGAGACTTGTATGCTAATTCATCCACCTAGGGTGCAACCGTGACCCCCTGAGGTTGAGTTCAGCAGTATCCAAAGTGGGTTCCTGCCAGCTGGCCTTTCCAAAGTTCTCCCATGAGCTGCTGAGAGTGGAGCCACCACCACTCTCAGCAGCTCATGGGTGGCTCCACCCCTCCCCTAACCTGCTTGGGTTGCTCTGGTCCTTGCCTGCCACATATGATGTTTATCAGCTAGAGGGAAGAGCCTCAATCTGGGAATCAGGAGTAAGTTCTGAGCCTCAGGCTGTTACTATTTTGCTGCAGCTGGGACAAGGCACTTCTGCTTTCTGGACCTGCTTTACCAGAAGGTAAGATTAGACTGTAGGCTCCCTAGAGGCTTTCTGCATACAATCATCTAGTGATTCTGCTAACTAGAGACTTCTGGCAACGTCAGGGAAGTTCGTCTACACTCAGGCTGCAGTATTTTTAGCAAACGTGATTGGACAAATGGGCCTGTGCCTTCCTTATCTTTTGGTGGAGTGAAAAAATTTGAGCCAGAGAAGCCAAATCCTTATAGCAAGCATCATGCAGCACACCTGGCTTTTTGCTGATTGCAAATAGGCATTTAAAATATCAATTTGAGCCAGGCACAGTGGCTCACCGTCTACTGAAAATACGAAAATTAGCCGGGTGTGGTGGCATGTGCCTGTAATCCCAGATACTTGGGAGACTGAAGCAGGAAAATTGCTTGAACCTACAGTGGAACCTGGAAGGTGGAGGCTGTAGTGAGCTGAGATCACGCAACTGCATTTCAGCCTGGGTGACAGAGCGAGACTGTGTCTCAAAAAAATTTTAATAAATAAAAATAAAATATGAATTGGAATCAGGTGTCTTCATTACTTCCAGCTAAAGCGGCATTATTTCCTAGATTTTTTTTTTTTTTTTTTTTTTTTGAGATGGAGTCTCACTCCGTCACTGTTGTCTGGGGTGAGTCTGAACACCAGAAAATACTTTGTCTTCCTTCCAGGAAAGTGAAAATGATTTCCCGCAATTCTACAGCCATCTCTGATGCAAGTGTGAGTTTGACATGAGGTCGGCCTTGGCCATTGTACTGCTATTTACCTGGACTTCGGGGCATCAGTCTGCCACCAATCTTTGAAGCTTAATTCCTCAGCTGTTTGCTAACGTAGGAAAGGAAGGAGTGGGAGGGCAGAAACCCCTGGGAATGGAGTTCCTGTGTAATTAAGTAATGGGCAGGGCGGGTGCAGTGGCTCACGCCTGTAATCCAGTACTTTGGGAGTCCGAGGCAAGCGGCTCATGAGGTCAAGAGATCGAGATCATCCTGGCGAACATGGTGAAACCCCGTCTCTATTAAAAATACAAAAATTAGCCAGGTGTGGTGGCATGTGCCTGTAGTCCCAGCTACAAGGGAGATTGAGGCAGGAAAACTGCTTGAACCCTGGGAGGAGGAGGTTGCAGTAAGCCGAGATCACACTACTGCACTCCAGCCTGGCGACAGAGCGAGACTGCAACCTAAAAAAAAAAAAAGAGGAAGTAACAGGCTCCCCGAAGTGCACCTGCCTGCTCCAGCACAGATTCCAAAAGGCAGGCATTGTTCTCAGGGATATAAGCCACTGTAGGAAAAACTGATTCCTCGCCCCTCCTTCCCATGACTACGCATTTATATTAGTTTAGAAATGCTCAGTCATCATTTAGGACTGGAGGCATGTTTTCATAACCTGTGGCGGGCGTGTTTTAATAACCTGTGGCGACTGAACCCATCTTGAAAGCCTTATCCTAAATTAGTGTTTCCTCAGTGATGCTTGAAATCACATTGTTAATTTTTAAGCAGTTTTTGGCTGGCTCTGTTTCTTTTTAACCTGAAGTAAAGAGCACACGCAGAATTAGTTCAAATCAAACATGAACTGCTTTTCCTCCTGACATCTATACGTGGCACCTCAATGGTATAGTAGCCAGTTGTCGAGATCCTACTGGTATTTTATTTCATTGCCTTACCCGCCGCACAGCCACATGGGTGGCATTCCTGACCAGAAGACTGTGACTGCATATTAGGACTTTTTTTTCTCTCTTCTGTAGAAAAACAGTTTAGATATTTTTAATATGTGTTAGAATTAACTAGATTACTCAAAACCTGCCAGTAATCACTCGGGCCAGGCAAAATGCTATTTGAAAATAAATT